TTAGTTACATAAAGAGTTGAAGAGGAACCCACCCTAAACCCTAAACTCAAGGAACCCGCCCTAAACCCTAAAATAAAAAGGGGAGCATTTAGTTAAATATATAATTACACAAAGAATTTGAGATACAAAAACAGACAAACCCACCTTAAAGCCTAAACTCTTTTAAACACGGGCAGTGTTTTGTTTCATAAGGAATGAATTTTAACCCTCAGACCAAAGCAGACCAAAGAATTTGACAAAACGAAAGACAAGAGCAGGATCGAAGAAAGACAAGAGTCGTGATGGGTTTGAAAGTGTTGTCTCGACAGTTTCTGATATTTCTCCAGAGTCTTGACAGTCTTGAAAGTTCTTTGAGAGTCTTGAGAGTTTTGAGAGTTTTTCCATATTTGATATATGAGTGGAACTCGCGAATCGTGTCGAAATACTACCTGAAAAGCATTGCTAGCATTCTGGTTCAAACCAAAGTTGTTGGCCCTGTCTGGGCAATAGATTGTTGGCACTTGATGTCGGCGCTCGACGATGCTAGTGCCCCTGAAAAGCCCACGCCAGAGACAGAGGACAAAGATCAAGAGACACAGCTAGAGGCAGAGGAAGTTGAGCAAGAGGACGAGAATCTTCAGGAACAAGCGACAGAAGAGCGACAGACAGAGAATCCAGAAGAGCAGGGCGAAGCACCAAAACAGAAACCCAAAGGCAAAGCCCAAGCAAAAACAAAGGCAAAGGCAAAAGAAAAGGCTGCCCCAAAGCCCAAAGCCAAGGCAAAGGGAAAGGCAGCCGCCCAGAAAGCAAAACCAAAAGCCAAAGCCAAAGGGAAATCCAAAGCCAAGAAAGGCCAGAAAGACCAGGAAGAAGAGGACGCGCGCGCAGAAGAAGCGAAATTGAAGGAAGTGAAGGAGGAACCAGCAAGTCAGACACCCAAAAGGAAAAGCAAAAAGAGGCCTGCTGCACCAGAGAACGATGGAGACGGCTCTGAGCCTGCTCAGGCCAAGGCCAGGGTCGAGCCAAAGAAGGAGACGAAGGAAGAGAAGAGCACAAAGGCTGAGAAGAGCAAGAAGGAGGAGAAGAGCGCAAAGGAGGATAAGAACACAAAGGACGACAAGAACAAGAAGGACGAGAAGAGCAAGAAAGACGAGTTTTGTGAGCGTTGCTTCGAGAGAGTTTGGAGAGCTTTACTTTGAGAGAGTTTTGAGGGAAATTGTTTGGAGATTTTGGAGAGCTTCGACAGACTCGGCAGGCTTGATGTTTAGTAGGTTTGATTGACCCACGCGCAGCAACTAGAGCACAAAGGACGATAAGAACACAAAGGAAGAGAAGAGCAAGAAAGACGAGAAGAGCAAGAAAGACGAGAAGAGCAAGAAGGAAGAGAAGAGCAAGAAGGAGGAGAAGAGCCCAAAGGATGATAAGAACACAAAGGAAGAGAAGAGCAAGAAGGAGGAGAAGAGCAAGAAGGATGAGAAGAGCAAGAAGGACGAGAAGAGCAATAAGGAAGAGAAGAGCAAGAAGGAAACTAAAGACAAGGATGATGATAAGAAGGATAAGAAAAAGAAGATCAACAGAGGGGAGTGGCTCAAGAGCTTCAAAGTTGAGAGTGACGAGGAAGAGGATGAGAAGAAGAAGAAAAACAAGAGCAGGAAGGAAAAGAAGAAAGGGTCCAAGTCCGAGTCTGACAAGTCAAAGAGTGATGGCGAGGCCTTTGTTAGCCTGCGTTGATTCATTTGTCATGGCAGCTGGACTCCTGACTTTGTAGGCAAGCGACAGCTCCAAGAGCGATGATGAGGACAGGCTGGAAAAGGGCAGGAACAAAGCTGCAGCGATGGCCTTTCGCCGATTGTTTCCTTCCCTGCCGGTGGCAGCACAGAATGAATGGAACAAGATTGAAAGCTCAAGCAGGCCGCAAACCACGCACGGCTGTAGTGTCCAGAATGTTTCAATGCGTATTTGAGAGTTTTGACAGTTTGAGAGGGGAGTCTTGAGAGTTTGGAGAGTTTGGCGAGATGTTTTTGCAGAGTTAACTAGTTAATTCTTAAAGTTATTTTTCATATTGTTGGTTTAGCATTTCTGAGAGCTTGTGAATTTGCATGCTGCTGTCCCGCCGATGCTGTTCACTGCGTTGCGTGACACTAAAACTATTTATGCGGTGATGGCAAGGCAGGAGGCGACTGAATGGCTCATGAAGAGGATGAAGAAGTGTAATGGTAAGTGGACCTTCACCCTTTCAGACGAAGGTTCAGTCAGCAAAGACAGGAAGAAGATTGACACAGAAAGGTTCAGTGCAGGACACCGCAGTGTACCAAGATTCATTGCGGTTCAGAAGGCTGGTGGGGAAGCTGGCCTAAAGCAAGCAATTGCTGCTGGCGAGATTGTTCCTGTCAAAGGCCACTCCGGCAAAACTCTCTACCGATGGGAAGAGGAGAGTTCCTCGAAAGGTGGACAGCTAGAGACAATGACGTCCCTGCACACAAGTGATGTTTGCGATGGGCTGGTGATGGATCAGCTTTGGGGAGCTTTGGATTTCGCTGTCTTCGCACCCGAGACGCCTTCTTTCTCCCAGCCTTCGAATCCCGGTCAACTGACGCTGCCTCCAATGAATCCTGGAGGAATGAGTTTCGGTGGTGCTGGATGTGGTGCTGGAATGATGGGTGGTTCTGGACTGATGGGTGGTTCTGGAATGATGGGTGGTTCTGGAATGATGGGTGGTGCTGGAATGATGGGTGGTGCTGGAAGTGGTGCTATGTCAACGGATGTAGTGCTGGAATTGCCGCCGCAATATTGGCAGAAACTCGACGAGGCCGGCTTGCGCAAATTGTATATTTGTCAGGCTTGCAGCTGGTGAGTCAGGTGAGACTTTTTTAAGTAAAAGTTTTGAGAGTTATATTATATTTGATTGTTTTCCGAGAGTTCTGAGAGTTTTAGGTTTTTATGGTTATAGCTGAGAGTTCTTATTGCTGAGAGTTTTCTTGAGAGTTTTGAGGATTTTGTGTTTTGATGGTTAGCTGAGAGTTCTCATTGCTGAGAGTTTCCGCTACGTATAGTTCTTCGACCATTTTGAGCAGCTCAACTCTGTGACAATTTGCATATTCTGAGAGTAGTCATATTTGACAGGCGTTGACTGTGGCCCAGGGTAGCTTGGCCGAAGCGGCCGCTGTGATTCAGACATTGAGCGGTAGGGCGCCTGGCAGCAAGCTGGCGAATGATATGCTCCAAAAGTTGAACATGGCCTATGGAGCAGTCACTGAATCCGTGAGTGTTATGACGCAGATAAAGGTGACGAAGCGCGGTCCAGGCAACATGCCCCTGACACCGCCAAATGCGAAGCAAATGCTCCAGAAGCTGTTCGTGCAGTTGAAAGATCTGCATGAATGCTGCAACGTCGGAAAAGCCGTCGGACGTTCTTGAGCCCCTAAGTTTGTATTGAAAGATGCATAAGATCGTATACTTGTTTTGTATACAGTAGAGTGTAATGGTTGGCTAAAGCAACGTTCGGTGAAATAGATTGGGCTCAGGACAACGCACATACCGCCTACCAAGGTTTATGTCGGAGGAAATACAGTTGAGTTGCGCGCTGACGAATGTGGTTGATGTGTTTATTGAAGGTTGTGGCGTTGCGTTCGTTGAGCGCAAGACGCTCAGTAGTTTGCTTTGGTTTGCAGACTGGTTCAAGCCTGTGGGTTTTGAACATCAGCGTTTGAAAATCACCCTCCTAGGAGGTCATGTCTGGCAAAATCACAGAGGCCAAAGGCTGCCACAACTACAGTACAGTACCACTCAATCTGAATTTCACATGGTCATTGAGTCATGGGGCTGTACTCGATTTGAAAAGGTTTTTGTTCAACAACTCTTCTACCTATAGTCATGGGTAAACGGAAGGCTGCTGCGGAGGCGCCAAGCCACTTGGCGCAATGGTTACTGGAACAAATAGCTTGGGGACACTTAAGTGCGTCGCAAGGCCAGAAGATAGCCTATATGGTTACCAAAGACGTTCCAGACGCCCACCCCGCGATACAGAAATTTGCGAGGCTAGGTACATCCGGTAGCAATCCGGCGAACACCTGGCGGGACCTGCAGAGGTGGGTCGGCGAGCCGCAATTCCCTCTGCGGCAAGTAGAACTCCCTCTCCAGTTTGGCGTGAAGAAGGTCAAGCAATCTGATGTTTCGATTCTTTGGCCTCACGAGATGTTCGCAGCACTATACACGCGTTATAGAGACGCATGGGCCAGCTACATAAATCCGGATGCGGCTGCTGCATTCTGGAACACAATGGGTTCGACAGAACTTTTCCGCGCGCACCCTTTGAGCACTGACCCGCGCGACAGAAGCAAGTGTGGCTCCCTTGCGTATATGTGAGGTTTTTAGCGCGTTGTTGTCAATTGTCAGTGCTAGTAGCTGCGCTCGTTGTCAATTGTTTGTGCGTTGTTGTTAAGGTATACCGTTGTCCCTTCACGGTGATGGCGTGCCATGTGTGAACGTGGGCAGTGCCCACAGCAGATCCGTGGAAATTGTTTCGCGGCGGTCCTTGCTTTGCACAAACGCGCCTTGCAGTGAAACACGCAACTTTTTAGTGTTTTTGTCTTTCTAACTAATCTAATTGTGTGACAGTTGTGAAACTGGAGGCTGTTGACAGCAAGTTTGAGAACTTCGTTGTCAGCTTGATATGGAGCCATATGGTGGCAAAGCAGCAAACCGTCAAAGAGTATTGGAAAGCGCTTGCCTGGTCTCTGGAAAGCTTGTGGCAAGGCAATATTGGCAGAACAGATATAATATTGACCGGGTTGAGACTGCTGACATTTTTGAAAGTTTGAGGAACTCCTTTTGTCAGTGTGAGGGCTTTGAGAGTTTGAGAGGGACGTTTTGAGAGCTTGGAGAGTTACAGTGAGAGTTTTCAAGAGTTTTGAGAGTTTGAGAGGGAAGTTTTGAGAGCTTGGAGAGTTAGTGTTTGAGCCTGCGCGGACTTGAAACTTTTTCAGAGACTTCTGTTGTCAGTGTGAGGGCTTTAAGAGTTTTGATAGTTTGAGACTCTCAGCAAAGTGTTTGGGGCACAATTGTGGTGGACGTTGGGCCACATCCTAGATATTTGGAGGCACCTGGCCACTCTTGGACTGGAAGGGCAATCCGGTGAGGACGCCTTTTGCTGGAACGCCATTGGCAGGAGGCTGGTTTGCCACGATCTGGTTAGTCCAAGCCGACCTAGCCTGGCATCCACAGTGGTTGGGCCTTCCGGGCCACAATGCCAATCTGCCTTGCCAACTCTGCTCCAGTCCAAAGGAAGAAATCTTTGACATATCTCCCACTCAGGTACCCAAGCTGATGAGCAAGGATGAATGGTTAGAGAGGTTTGAGACATCGAGGAGATTTGTGGATTTGTTCACAGTCACCGGGCTGACTGGCCAACATGTGTCCCCGGATTTGATGCACACCAAGTGGTGTGGCGTCGACACATATTTGAACGGCGGGTGTTTGGCCGTTCTCCTGGAGCACAAGTTCGACAACAAGTTGGACGTGTTACTGCCTGCGTTGCAAGAGTATCCAACATTCCATTTTGCAGTTTGTTTGATGGTATTTGAGTCTTAATATGGTTCAATGAAAACGGTATATAGATATATTGTTCAATGTTCTGCCCAGGTATGTGCCCTCCGAGCTGTCGACATTTGTGGCCACTTTGACAACACAGAAATTCCAGAGCACAGACAAAACTTTCCCAGTCCTCAAGGGACGAGCTTACCAATGCAGAGGTTTGACCGAGCCTTTGTTGAATCTGTGGGTTGACCGCATGAGCGGCAGTCGCCAGGATCGACTCCTAAAAATGGTCATGCAAAGATCTGTAGATTTCGATCGAATCATCCGCAATTATGCAATGGCATCGGTGCTGCCAGCTGACGTGTCTTGGACGAGGTTCTAGAGTTTTTTCCTTGGAATTCAAAGTTGAATTTGTAAGAGAGTTATGGAGCATTTTTGGCTGTAGAAACATGATTCGATCCCTAGGCCTCCCAAAGACTGACGAAATGCATGTCAGAGTTCATCCCGCTGTACAAAGAGCTGCAGCTCGCCTGGGAAGGCTTTTTCAATATGACCAAAAAGTGGCACGACCTGTTCCACTTAGCACAGCGGTCATCGGAGGTCAATCCGGCAATCACTTCTTGTATGCTGCAAGAGGATCTCATGGGAAAGATCAAGACTATCGTAAAGCAAAGCGTGCAGGCATCTCGGCCACTGACTGCGACCACGAAAACCATGGTCAAATATCGGCTAGGGATTCACCTGGAGCATTGCAGGGTGTGATTTAGGACGACCAAGGTTGGATTTGCAAGAGACTTGGACAAATTGCCACTGGCATGCAACCTCTGGAATGCTCCTGGCGACTTCCAAATGTCATCAGATGCCTCCATGCCTTTTAAAAAGGCATGCTATTCGTCAGATTGTCCCACTTAAGGGCCAAGCAAGGAATCTTTTTTGAGCAGTTGCTGGAAAACATGGAGCTCACCTCACGTAGGGCAGGCATATTCATGATGGAACGTGGAACATGACTTTAATTGAACCGCGCTGGCATTTGTTGGTTACTGAGGATGTTTGGAATTGTTTGGAAAGGTTTTTTTGCTTTGAGAGAGTTTTGAGAGCTTTGCTTTGAGAGAGTTTTGAGGGAATTTGTTTGGAGAGTTCACGGATTTGATTGACCCATTCCGAATAGCCGAGTGAAATTTTGCTCAATATCAGCTGAGCCGCGTAGAGCCAACGTCCTTATAATTGTGATCATGACTGAAACTTCGAGGTTCGCGCAATGTGTTCGCTTTTTGCAAGCGGTTGCTGATGAGAGAATCTGTGTCAGCTGCTGGGCTGAGATGCTTGAGGAATACTTGGAAAGGTGGGCCATATATTGAGATTTGTTGATTAACAATGGACACCCCAGTCAATATGCAAGCTTGCTTGCGCAGGGAAGACTACATTCAACTACTTCGAGTATCGAAAGATTGTCGGTGCGATTTGGACAGCCAGCCAGAAGATGCAGAAGAAGATGCAGATCTGGATGCCAGACAGCCGTGAAGCAGAGTCTTCCTTCCAAATAGAGTTTGCAGGTGACCTTCCAGCAAAAGCGTCGGGAGGGCACCTAGACATATGACCACGATCGAATCAGAATATCCAGCCGCTGGTCAATGATCGACCAGATCGGTTGACGCATATATGGTGGGTGGAAAAAACTGTGTGTTTCTATGCGCGCCAAAATGGGCTCAGGGGACGGTCCATGGTGTGGTGAGGATCGAAGCATATACGTTATATAGGTTAGTTGACAGTTCCGAGTGTTTTCTTAATGCCGCAGCCATATATGGTCATATGGTCTGGAGCTTAGAGTTTTTTGAGTTTCTGGTTTTTGAGTTTTCGGGGTTTAAATGGAAATTTCAACGAACCCCTACTAGCAAGGTTGTCAATAGGAAGACGTTGTTCAATTTGTTTGGAGAGTTAAGTCTGAATGTTTCAAGAGGCTGAACCTTCGTTTGACAGGGTGAATCCTCATCCTTTTCAGGAGCCAGTCAGCCCCTCATATACTCTCAATCCCAAAAACTCTCCATTTAGAACCCTCAAACGTTCAATGCAGACATTTCAAGAAATCCGAAGCAGCTGCGCCACCTCCTGCTGTGCCAAATTTCACCACCAGGCCTGTTCGAAGACTTGCGCATAAGCTAGGTTTGAGAGACTTAATTGCGGGTTTTGAGAGAGTTGCGCGTGAGAGTTTGAGAGAGATTCTGCCCACTGGCAATGTTGTTGTTGGTGGTGGTGGCGTTGGTGGTGGTGGTCGTGTCTACACTCGCAAGATAGTTTACTATTCCAAACAAGCTTTATTATTGGAAATATATTTTATTTTATTATTTGGAAAATATAATTTTATTATCAATAAATAAAATTTTTATTTCAAAAATAATAAATTTTTATTATCAGAAAAATAAAATTTATCATTTTTTAAAATCTATTTTTTTCATAAAACTTATGATTTTCACACATTTTCTCTTAAAGGATTCTTATGGTCTCTCTCTCTCT